GCCATATAGCGCAGAACGGACAAACCAAACACTGGCTCTTGACAGCCACTGTTGTTTCTCCTACACTCTTCATCACAGCCCGTTCTCATTCCCAGGTTGTCAAATACAAGACAGTGTTCAGTTAGTTGCATTCTGCAACATCACCGCTAGATGCCACTAAATCTTACACACTGGTCCTTTAAAAGAAGACGATTCAATATTGGACACATTCACCAGGGGCCCAGAAACATGACTCCATATAAATGCTAATGTTGGTTAGTATCTGCTGGATGTGTAAGTAAGCAACTGTTTGCTAAAAAGTGAACTATCGGCATCAACTGAAAAGGTGACAGTATGTCAAAGTTGCCGAAGCAGCTTTTTTCTGCAGCTCCCTAAAAATGAGTTATTGCAGCTTTCATTTTCTAATATAATAACCTCCCATGCAAGCCCCTGCTCCTAAGCCTTTCGAGTCTAAATATAGGCACAGTTACTGTTTTTTTCATTGTTATTGTTATTCAAAACAGCATATCTTTCTGTGGCTAGAAAATGGCAAAGGCTCGGCTGAGATGAAGCAAGGATTCTTTGTTGCTCAGCATTTGTGGCAGAAATTGCTTCCAACACTCTTAACCTGAAAACTATGAATACATCCCAGCTTTCTCTGCCAGCACTGTGGGTCTACAGCATTGGATGACGTTGGTGCATTCATATCATCTAAACATTATGTACTCATATCATAAAATGTAGAAGGAAAGAGGGGAAACAACCAGAAAGGAAAGTTCCAATGCTGCTAACACAGCACAATTTTTGAAAGACCAGGCACTACATTTCCTTTGCCAGGCGCTAGTGTTACTGCAATTACAGTCAACTGATGGCTGAAAATGGGTCATCAACTTCCTCAGTATAAATGTCTATTAGGCTTTAGATACCATGCAGTGATTCAGCCATGTAATGACAGTTTTCATATTTGCTGTTCTAAGCACTGAGTGCCAGTTATGATATTCCCAGGAGGAAAATCCTCAAGCCACACAGGAAGCGTTTTGTTTTATGTTTGCAGAGGCATCAGTAGATGTTTGTTTGGGATAATTAAGAGAATAACTGGGTAGTTGGTATGAGAAAGCATAGCCACAGTAGTTAAAAAGGCAAAGAACTTTAGCTTCTTCCACAGAAAAAACGAAAGAATAGAAACAAATTATTGGAAAAAGAAATCAACCATCTATAAAGTTAGAAAAACGAGAGTAAACATCAACACTGAGATCTGTGCTAACATGAGTAGTGATATGTGTGGCCTTTTCCTGTCTGTTAGGTTTCACTTCTGTAAATTTGAGTGTTTTCAATACTATGGTGAGCCATCGCTTACACACAATTGACTTTTAAATGACTGATGGTAAGTTGAACACCAGATAAAAATCACACAGCTGACACTGTGGTGTCTGTTTCACTGGAATTTAATGGAAGCTCAGCTGATGGCCTAACAGCACTCTTGGTTTTATATATGTTTTTATGATAAATTCAAATCCATTGGTGTGTGTGGGAAGTTGTGATGGAGCAGCAAGAGAGCATCATTTACAGTCTATAAATAATAATAATCTCAACATTTCAGCACTCATAATCAAAACTGTTCGCACGGTCGGACTTCACTAGGGGTATGTGAGACATATTTTTTGATTCCTTTAAACTATATTTAACTATATGATAAAAAGCTGGCAAATTCTTCATAATACAGAAAAATAAGGCTTTAGACCTGCCTGTCCTGCAAACGAGAGGAAGAACGTGTAATATTCTGTCCTCAATCCAAGCAAAGTTATGCTAATAAATAAATTCAGATGTTTTAGAGGAGGAGTGGGATGTTGCTTCAGAGCCAACCAACCACCACATGACAACAGCCACATGTAACAGTCACAGCTGTACCTATTACTTCAACCCAGATCCTAGACATATATTCTCTCAGGTGATTTTTTTGCAAACAAAAACAAATAATGTTGTTTGATTATTAAAGAGAGGACACTTTACAGTATTCTGCTTGTTGTAGGTTTAGAGCTGATAAATGAGAGAGAAAGGGACAGAGGAAGGACGTCCTTCCTGCCTTTGTATCCTGTGTTCTGCTGACAGAGGCTGCTTTTTAGGAGATGAGCCCCTCAGAAGCCAGATTACTGACGAGCTGAGAGTCGGTTTTCCCTTTAAGACACCAACCACTGAAAATGATCTTTCTCACAACCTCTTATTAAACATTTAATGGGATCAAACTTTTGTTTATATTTCAGAAACCCAGAACAAAATGCACATATTTAGGAATTTAAGAGTTGTTGCTCCATCACGTCTCACATAACGTTAGCAACTGGTCTTTTAATTTTTCTGTTATGTATCATTGCAACAGTATTCATATCCTGCACATCATAAAATCAGAAATAGCTAAATATGTTTTCCCGTATAAGATCTTGAGGCTGTTAACCTTTCCCTTCAATGACATGTCTCTCTGGTCCTGCATCATGGTCTGATGACGTTGGATCAAAATGATGGTTCCCTGTTCTTCTGAATGTGATTCATTGTCTGTTAAGATCAGTGGCACACCCAATGCAACTGCACACTTGCATGCAGGAGGACATGTTGGATGCTACTTACTTGTGTAAAAACTTCTGGTGACTGTAGTCGGAAAAGGAAAAGTAGGGGACATGCTTTTTCAAGATACAGACAACAGATGGCACAAGTCAGCACATACACATTAGAAGATTTATTTTTATGATAGAATGCTGACCGAGACAATCTAATGGGAAGTGTCCTTTCCAGTTTATGACAGGAAGGCCACAATTCAAACATCAAGCGTTTAGGGCGTGAATCTTGGAACCGGCTGCCACCACAACCAGAACCTAAGATAGCCACTTATCTCTAGTCCATAATTGAGGTAGCCTTAGATTTTGTCTCTGTCCCTCTCTGTTCTTTTAACTCTTAACTTCCTTCACTGCTCTTGACCATTTCAATCTAAAAATACTTAAAGCAGTAGGGCTAGCAACGTCATTATATTCTGTCGCACATGATGACAAATTCCATAGGATGTAGTGTGTAAATTACAGTAAAGCAGGGCAATAGGCTGTTCCACAAGTGTTTCCACACAGTTCCAACCTCCCCCCAAAAAACAGGAAGTCTTTCTAGTCAGGAGAAATATTGGCCAAGAACCTTACCTACCCTCTGGTTTCCTGAGAAAGCTGGGAGGAAACTGCCGAACCTCTTAAAAGTGGTGACCTAAGCACATATTTGTGCCTCTCCAGCGGGCCATGACCACATAGCCCCTAGACTACCCCAGCTCTGCTTGCAGATACAGGGAAAGAACCATGACAGGGCAGCCCCCAGATTGACTTTGGAGACATCAGGGAATAGTCCTACTGTGTTTATTTAAGTCAGCAGAAAAATACTTGTCAGCATGCAATTTAACATCAGTTTTACTCTCTCAGATGGATAAAAGCAGAGGATTTGTCAGCCTCTCAGTGCTGCCAAACATCTGTGCCCATGAATAATGATTCACCTGGTCATGAATGATTAGCTAGTTTGATCATAATCCTAATACATTCAGTCCACTTTTAAATTCACTGCTGATTTCATCTCGTTACACGGAGAAGTGTTCTGTTTTGTCTGTTTTAATGTCATTTATACACACTGCACTCCCTCCTTTTGAAGAACAAAGTACTGCAGACTCAGCAAAAGCCTGTCAGATCACATGACAGATCATTAGGTGCAACAGTTTAAAACTTCCTGTGTATTGTGCAAGGCTTGTTTTAATATATTTATACTGTGTTTGACTTGACGTAAATTGAGTGCATGTGTATGCATATAAACTGTATTTTTTTAAGTAGTATATTGGTTTGTTCCTTCACATAAACAGTGTGCAAATGTAAGACATGGACATGCAATACTAAATACCTACTGTGGTTATCTGTTCGATGTTGCCATCTTGTGGACAAAGATTTGCACTTCAGCACCCGCTCATCAAAGCTTTGCAGCAGGAACCCTATCACCAATGTGAGTCTGGTGACCTAAATGTACCATGGACCTTTCTTGTCAATGTATTAACTGCCTCTTTAAATATTTGCACTGCTTTCCTGTAAGCCTCTCTGTCTTACTGATGATTGCATCATCCTGGAAACAGAAATAAACAAATTGTCTCCAAATAATACTAGCATTCCTAAAATGAAAAATAAAAGAAAAACAAAACACAATAAATGGCCCTAGGCTGTGTGCATAAACAGAGTGTATGCACTAAAATAAATCCCTAACTTGACACAGCAGTATTAAAGAGTGTTGGTGTCAGTTTGTGTGTGCTGTCCCAAGTGGCTCCTTGACTTTCAGTTGGTAAATGCTGGGCTGGTGCCCAGCTTCATGATACTCTGTGGAGGACTGAATGGGTACAGAAAATGAACAAATGACTAAAAATATAATTTCTATAAAAACATTAACAATAATATGTATTGCCAAATATTGAAATGTCACTGTGATAACTATTTAAACAGAACAAACACATTTATATTTATTCATTTCAACGGGGTTTTGACACTTTTGTGTTTTCAGTGAATTAGGAGTTGGTAACGTTTTTTGTCATATTTTGTGCAGTAGGTGCTGGTAATTGGGGAGATATGTATCAAAAGTGTATTATTTAATGTATCTTTTATCACAGCCAACTAAAAGCATAAGCATTGAAATAGATATAACAATAACAAACAATATAAAAATTACCATAAGTGTATGTTTTAGAGAGGTGCTTATCTATGTGTCAATGTATTTGTTATATCAGCTTTCAGTAAATCAAGGTGCAGTTTCAACCAAAAGGCCAAAGATTAATGCATTATAACAGTTCTATAACAGTTTTGATGATGATGAGAAAAAACTAATCATTACTTTTACTTATTAGGCTATTATGTTTTTTTTTTTTTTTTTATTGAAACAAACACTATAAACTGTGGTTCGAATGTCCTCGCACTGAATCAACATTGCTGCACCTGAAAACCAAACTATTGACTTTGATTACAAGAACATGGTGCAATTGGAAAATAATTGACTGAGAGGAAGCTTAAAAAGACTGAAGAGGCGCAGACACACAGCACTATTTGTTTATTCAAAGGTCCATCATGAGGATTGAGGCCACTCTCCAGCTGGGCTTCTGCGCCCTGTGTCTGACTCTGGTGCTTCTTGGAGAAGTAAAGTATGTATATTTTCTATTTCATTTACACAACAGCAAGGATGTTTTTATTCACTTTACTAAGGATTTAGTCAACTTAATATGTGTATTTCAGGGGAGATCCTGATCCCCCACCAGTAAACTGTGTTTGGAGCCCCTGGTCGCAGTGGAGTTTATGTGAACCCTGCACGAAAATCAAAGTGAGTCTATTAAAACTGTAATCAACCTCAGTGACTACAAAACAACATTTTCAACCTAGTCTGATCACAATAGCGTACTACCTAGCATGTGATAAACTGTAGCCTATACTGTCCTATAAAGCCAAACACAGTCACTGTGTATATATGCCAGAATCTGACTTTCGGATATCTAGACATACACTAATCAGCCATAACATTATGACCACCTGGCCACGTGCATCGGTGAGCCTTGACCCTGTCGTCAGTTCACCAGTTGTCCTTTCTTGGACCACTTTTGATAGCTACTGACCACTGCAGACTGGGAACACCCCACAAAAGCTGCAGTTTTGGAGATGCTCTGACCATGCTCTGACGTCAAGCCATCACAACGTGGCTCTTGTAAAAGTCGCTCAAATCCTCACGCTGCCCATTTTTCCTGCTTCTAACACAAACTAAATGTTTACTTGCTGCCTAATATATCCCACCCACTGACAGGGCCAATGATAACAAGAAAATCAGTGTTATTCACTTCACCTGTCAGGCTGATCAGTGTACTTTAAAAAGTATTTATTGAACTAGCTCATTAGTTCAAATGGACAAGAAGCTGAAGAAGAATAAAACTCATTTTGTCTATAGATACTGCATTTTCACTTTGCCCTTCACATTGTCTATACATACAGTTTCTGTAGTTACTACTTTCTGCCTTTGTGAGAAAGTGTAGACGCTTAATAATCACGTGATCTCATTTGTTACCCTTAGAGGCGGTCTCGAACTGCTGAGGTGTTTGGCCAGTTTGGTGGCGAGCACTGCCAGGGACCAATAGGGGAGAGGGAAAGCTGTACAACAAATGCTAATTGTTCAACAGCGTCATCCACTGTGTGCTCTGACTCACAGTTCCAGTGCGATTCAGGTACTTCAGCTTCTTTTAAGTTAACTATAGTACCATTCTCTTTATTATTTTAGGACTGGTCGGTTTAACACCTCTCTTTACACAGGTACTTGCATCAGGAAGAGATTAATGTGCAACGGGGACCTTGACTGTGAGGATGGATCAGATGAGCCATATGACTGTGATCCTGAGAATAAACCCTGTGGTACAAGAGTCCTGGATACAAATGAGCAAGGCAGGACTGCAGGATATGGGTAATAGTGAATGATTTAAAATCTAATTAATTTGGAATCAAAGAGTGAATAATATGAAAGTAAGCACATCTCATGATGACCACACATAACAAATATTGATCAAAGGACTATTCAGAGGAGATAGATCTGAGTTGTTTTAACAATACATATTATCTGTTTTGTACTTGAATAATATTTAAAAGAATAATTGATATTTTAATTGGCGTGTTAGATGACAATATATCAACACCTTTCTCATGGTAATGCTAAAAATGAAGCTCGAGCCAGGAGACATTTAGCTTAGATTAATTTACCATAAAGACTGAAAGCTTGCAGAAATTGGCTCCGTCCAAAGGTTAAAAACCCCACCTACCAGCAACTTTAGCCTTCACTAATTAATATCTGAGATGTTTTACCTTTACACACCGCCAGGCAAGCTTTTACCTCTTGCTTGCAGGCTTTATGCTAAGCTAAGCTAACCATGTCCTGACTCTAACTTTGTATTAAACTGACAAGTAGCTATATGAGAGGTATCAATCTTCTAAATATAAAGACAATAAGCATTTTTTCCTAACTATTCCTTTAAGGAATTAAACCTGGACATTTATACTCAAGTAATCTTCAGGCCTTTGAATTTCAACTAAGTAGGCATAATACTGTATACAGTATTAACAGCGGCCACTGTCTCCGTGCTCCAGAATCAACATCTTGGGTGCAGGTCCTCGAATGAACCCCTTTAACAATGATTACTTCAATGGGAGGTGTGATCGATTGAGAAATCCTAACACTGAGCAGAATGACAGGCTTCCCTGGAACGTTGGTGTGCTCCACTATCAGGTTAGCTATAATCATTTCTCCTATATTATCACAACGATGCATTCACTATGTGTGTGTGTGTGTGTGTGTGTGTGTGTGTGTGTGTGTGTGTGTGTGTGTGTGTGTGTAAAGGTGTTATGAGTAAAATGATTATGTCAGTTAGAGATTCCATCCTCCACTAACATCATGACTCCTTGTTTTTTCAGACTTTAGTGGAAGAAACAGTTTCTAGAGAAATCTACGAAAACTCACACACCCTTGTGAGGCAAATGCTAAAAGAGATGACTTCTACAATTGATGTTGGACTTTCCTTCAAATTCCAACCAAGTGAGGCTTCCTTGTCCAAAGATTCTGGAAGTGGAGGTGTAAGCGGAGATGCAAGTATAGGATTTAATAAGGAAACAGTGATTAAGGACATGACAGAGCACACAACAAGTTACACAAAGGTAAATGTCAGCCAGTGACAAGTAATAGACCTTTTTCATTGAAGCCATTTTGACATGAAATAGTAGGGTAAACACAGGTGTTAAGGTACTCATTAAGGTTCCATTCCATTCACGTCAAACAGATCAACACCTGTGTTTACCCTACTATGGCATGAAATAGAAGGGCTGCCGTGAAAAAAGGTCTATTCACAGGTCTAAAAAATTACAAAATTGTGTAACCAAGACAATCTCAAAAAATACACGTATCTGTACTTACTAACATTTCTGTACCACTCACTCAGAACAAGAGCTTTATGCGAGTGAGGGGCACAGTAGAGATGAGCACCTACAGGATGCGCTCCCGGGACCTCCAGGTGGCAGATGAATTCCTGGACCATGTCAAATATTTGCCCTTAGAGTATGAGAAGGGTATTTATTTTGCCTTTCTAGAGGACTATGGAACTCACTACACCAAAAATGGGAAGTCTGGCGGGGAATATGAATTGGTCTATGTACTCAACCAGGACACCATTAAGAAGAAACGTATGTGTACCGTGCATTGTTGTTTTCAGTCACTACATTTTTCTGTCATGGGACCTCTCAAGTATATAGTGACACAAAATAATCCTCTGTAATTCATGCCTTTTGCAGATGTGACAGACAGAAAGATTCAAGAATGCATCAAATTAGGCATCGAAGGAGGCATTACCGCGGGTGACGTAACAGTGAGAGGACATGTCAAACCAGATGACTGTAATACTGTCACAAACCCCACCACAGGTCTGCTTTCTCCGTCTTCAAGTTAATATTTATGGGATATGTGCAGATTTTTCATAATATTATATTTTATCTTAATATAATACTGGCATGCCATATGGACATTGAAAGAGTTATTTAGAATCTTCCTTTCTGCCCATGAATTGATTCATTCATTGCACAACTCCACTGAACACAGACTTTGTTCCATGCCAAATTGCAATCTGAAGTTCAGAAAAGTCTAATATGATGCTGCAGCAGTCAGAGTTAGCCAAACGGAGTGGGTATCTTTGTCAAGCTAGTCGGGTGCAGGTTTAATGCTGGTGTTTTATCCTGGCAATGCAACCAGTAGTGGGTTGGGTATTTGGATGAAAAAGACTGTAACTATGAATGTTTACATTAATGTATCAGTTGTGGAATGTCTCTAAAACCTGATCCCCTGTTGCTACATAGAGGAAAGTGAAGGAAAAGCAGTGGTGGACAAGGTGATGACATCAGTCAAAGGAGGTACACTAGTGACTGCTGTTGCTATGAAGACGAAAGTGAATAAGGAAGGGGTGTTGGACTTGGTAACATTTCAGGACTGGGCCCGGAGCATCGCTAGTGCCCCTGCACTGATTAAAAGTGAGGTAGGAATGATTTTGAGATGAGATGAGATTGACAAGGTAAAGCTGGAACAACATCATTATATATAACATCATTATTACACACTATGAGAACAAGGTTTTTAACAGTGAGTTGGTCAGTCTACCAGTTTGGTCCAGACTATGAACAACTATCGGATTACCATGAAACTTTGTACAGCCATTCGTATGCCAAGAGCATGAATCCTTATGACCTTGGTGACCCCCTGATTTTTCATCTAGCACCACCAGTAGGTCAAAGGTTTCAATTATCCTGTTAAATCCTATGAAACTACTGTAATGACATTCCCATCTGCTTCAGCTACACATTGCGTTTATTGCTAAATATCAAAAGTTAGCATGCTAACATGCTTAGAAAAAATGGTGAACATGGTAAAAATTATACCTGCTAAACATCAGCATATTGTCATAGTAGGCATGTTAGCATGCTGGTGTTGCTGCATTTATCTCAGTGCACTGCTATGCCTAAAAATAGTCATGGCTCTAGACTCTTAATCTTGTTATAAGATGAGGCGAATGAAAGATGAGATATAATTGTTATATTATAATTGTGTTGTGTTATAATTTATTGTCATATGTATACATATAAGTGAAATTGTACACATATTCTGTTGTTTCTGACAGCCGGAGCCCATCTATATGTTAATCCCATTGGAAATGCCAAGTGCCAATGTAAGAATTTCCAATCTGAAGCAGGCCATAGCAGACTATGTGGCGGAGTATAGCGTGTGCAAGTGTAAGCCTTGTCATAACGGAGGCACTCTTACTCTGCTGGATGGAAAGTGCATATGCCTGTGCTCTAACTTGTTTGAAGGCATGGCATGCCAGAGTTTCAAGGGTGATAATACTGTCCCCCCAGGTAAGAGTGAACAGTGGAATATAAAATAAATCACAACACACCAAAAAGACCCATCATATTGCTTAAGGTCATTTTTTATGTGTTCAATTTGCCATTTTTTTTTTTTTTTTTTTTGCAGTTGAAAGACCTCCTATTGCCCATGAAGGTAACTGGTCATGCTGGTCTAGCTGGTCCAGCTGCACCAATGGGAAACGCACCAGGACACGCAGCTGTAACACGGACGGGGTCCCTGGAGCTCCGTGCAGAGGAGACATCAGCAGTGAGGAACACTGCTAGGCAGATAAATGGTCATGAAATAGTCTCTCTCTGAAATACACATACACACAACCTGTGTATAAAAAATAAACATTAAAGCGCATTTGAGCATTTTTGTATTTTGTATACAGAGCCATCTTAAGGGTCGGTATGGGTAATCCAGTCCATAAGATACATTTTGGATTTTAGCTCACAGGCCGTCTAGATTTTCTTTTCTTACAAATGAATGAAATTTAATGAACATAAACAGTCACAAAACAAGTATAAAACATAACATGTATGCCATTTTAATAAAGATGTGGCCCTCCACTTTGCATCTATTTGCATTATCAACACCAGTGCTAATTTAACTGAGTCCTGTAAGTTATTTTAATTTTGGTTTTTCATTGTGGCAGCCTCACCCCATTGTGATACACTAAATCAAATTAAAAGCAACTTCTCAAAACAATTTCAACCAATCAAAGGACTGTGCTGTCCTTTTAGCCCTGATTAATCATTAAGTCTTAAGAATTTTTTGACCACAAACAATGTGTCTTTCAACTTCAGTTCACTTGAAATAGTGTTAGACTGAAGTATGTATTAATGGGCGAATAACTCATCTTTAAAAGCACAAACACATTCCAGCTGGCTGTGCTGTGCAAATGAGAACCAGATGAGCTGAAGCAGAGTGGAGAGAGAACTGACAGAGGACAACAAGATTAAGGTGCTGGACATAAACACAACATAAAGGAAGACGTTATATATGCATTCAGATTTTATCAGGTGACATTTACATTTTCTGTAACCTCATATTTCATATATGTGCATTAACCTATAAATGTTTTTCCATGTTTGTGTAATTTTGGAACAGGAGCTGTCAGGTTTTTATTTGTGACAACAAACTCAAGTGGAAACAAAATGCTTTTAAAAGTTATTGAACTACAAAATAATAATAATTCACATAGATCTGCTTGTTTTTGGGTACTTATTTTACAGCTTGCTGCTGTTTATACAACTTGTTGCTGCCACATAGGTCACGTAACATGCGGAACAGACTTAACTCGTGGAATTTTTTACATATGGGTGTTAACAATATGCTGCAGGATCTATGTGTTATGCTTGCTTAAGTGGTAACAGATCTGACCCAGACAATGCTGTGAACTGTCCTTAAGCAACTCTACAAGCTCCAATAGTGCAAATGAAGATGGAAATACAGAATATATGTTACATGAGTGGATTTACATGACAAAGACAAATAACAGGCTATTTGCTCTCACAATGGGCACTGTCATATTTGCTTAGCTTAACAGTCTTTGATTTCCATGTTTGCTCATGGATTTAAACTCATTCATTTAGAGCCGACACTGCAGGCATGACTTGAGATCCTCGTGCCAGAGAAGGCCTTGTTAAGCAAATAGCAGTGAATGTAACTTCTACAGCCTTGCACAATATATTAGGAATGTGCACAGACCTGTAAAAGGGAAATGCGAGCAGTTAGTATTTCTTTCCTGCCTATAGAGGGGACTTTTTCTGAAGTGTATTCTCTGGGTTCTCAATCCTATAGGTCATGATTAAATACGTCAAACACTGGACAAAGCAAATAACTAATATTGAGCCCTATATATTATTAGGACCCTTTACAGATTTTAATAAAATACACCTGAAAGGAAGCAAACCAGATAATAACTCTAACCACTTCTGAATATTAGAGTATCGGATATAGTGTAGGACTTTGTGAATTTGTTTAAAATGACCTGAGCAGCTTTAGTCCTTCTGGTTTCACATTATTTATTACTTCTTCTTCCTCTCTAAGTATAAACTCTCTGCCTCCTGTCATGATTTAAATTAAAACAGAACTCACCCTCCCTGTTTTTAAAGGTAGTTTTTTTGTTTTGTGTTTTAGGAGTTTGGAAGAAAATAATTTAAAATCCAGAGCAGCCTTTTGAAATCAAACAGCTCTTGGACCCTGAAACCAGGAGACTGGGTTGATAACAGCCAGTAGAGGTTTGTTGTAATTCCTCCCCAGCACCTTCTTTTTTTTTTTTTTTTTTCTTTAATTCAGTACTTGAGTATTTCTACTAGACTGGTTAGCTCCTGCAGTCAGAAAAAAAAAAAAGAAAACCCTGCACGATGCAAAATGTATCCGAACTCTAAAAATGAACTGATTCAGATTGCTGGATATGACTTCTACAACGCCCAAGCTTTATCTTCGACTTGATATTTGCTGCAGTACAGTCGTGACTCTCTCAGAGGGCGGCCATAAAGGTTCCACCAGACTCCTTGACTCTCCAGCAGGGACAGAGAGTCTGACTAGCTGCTTATGGCTGGTTAACTCAGTCAGTCTCCGCTCACCCTCAACGTCACCGCACGACGTAGCCACGAGGCCACACCTTAGTCCTCAGACCTCAGTGGTCCCCTTGGTGCACGTTGACCTCATTTCTTCTGGGTTTAAATGTGTGCTGTGATAGTCAACTTGCTAATGACTGATATAACATTGTGGAAAATAGCCATGAGCTTTATGGCAGCTAACAACATGGGTGTGGAAAGAAGATTTTTCTGTTCACGTTCAGGAGTGCACCCAGCGGCTTCCTGAGAAGTCAACTAGTTTCTAGCTGTTTATTTCAACAGTCTGCATGAAGAGGGAGGGGAGAACAAGATTGACTTACTGGAAAATATAATCAGAGTTCAGAAATGTGCAGCTAGTTAACTTTAGATTTATCCTACTCTAAATGATTAAACATGATTTAACCTTCAAAAGAAACCTTGTGCTTTTGCCATGAGCAAGTTTGTCTTGTTCATCTATCTCACTGACTGCCTATCTTTCCATTTCCTAATCAATTAATGTTATTTATTCATTCACTGGGGCAAGTCTGTGCACAAAGCATTCCCCAGTGTGTGTGTGTGTGTGTGTGTGTGTGTGTGTGTGTGTGTGTGTGTGTGTGTGTATGTAGTGGGAGGTGATGAATGCATACTTGAGAGGTAACCACTGGGGGTGGTACCCCTTGGCCTTTAGGATGTCAGCATAATGGAGTAAAACTTTGGGACCTTATTGAGCTCCAGGGAGACCCCATTCACTCCGGACAGCAACCCAGCCTCAAGCCATTATCTTAGTCTAAAATGTTTTGTTCTTTCTTCAGTCCTCAACAGAACCGTTAGCACAAAATAATGAACCCCGCTTCATCGATAGACTTCCCGATTCTCTTTTTTACTAATATTTACTCATACTTTAAAGTGAGTAAGAAGTGGAAATTCAAAGCTTAAAGGGTTTGAGAAACTCATGACACTGATATAATATTTCCAATATTCGAGGTGGGAAAAACACATGCCATTTTACACATATTGGGTGTAAATGTCAGAGATATTCAATGGTAAAAATCTGCAATACATTAAATAAAAACCAGAGCATTATTAGCATCATATGCTTATTCTGCTCTGAGCAGAAACATACTCATAATCAAAGGAAAACTTACATCTTGTATTAAACGATTCAGCCTTTTTCAGTAATTAAAAAATACTCTAGATTCTTTTCAAAGCATAGCAAGCCAGTTCCAGGAGAAAAAATATTGGCAAACAGAGAACATGCACTTCATTTTAATTCATAAAAAATTAAATCCCAAAATTCTTCACTTTGCACAAGCTAGAAAATGAATTCTAAGTTTGCTTTCAAAATGTGAACCATTGTTGTCTCATCTCATAAACATATAGTCCTCTCCTTCAGTGAAAAAGAGGTAAGGGATATTTTTTTTTAACAAAAGCCCTTTGGAAGGGTGTGAAAGGAGCCCCCTCGCACTCCTAAACGCCTGGACACAGTTGGAGTTGCCCTCTCCCCACTTCCCTAGGTCACTAAAGGCATTGAAGTTTTAGAGGGCTGCTACGGCAGATTACTCCACACAGCTGTCCCAGCACCGTGGAAATGAAGTTATGCCTCTTGTCAGCTTTGTTTTGTGTTCCCTCTCTCCTCCTGTTCTTCTCTCACTCCTTAAAACTCTGCACCACTGCTCTTTGGCTGGGCTGCAAGGGGGGGGATCAGGGGTGGCAACTAAAGGACAATTCCAATTCAGTCGTGGCAGATAGACTAGGCTTATCTGATTGGTTGATTAAATATTCCCTTCTTTGGATCATTATTCTGAGAGGCTCGAAATCCCTGACATTCAACCCAGCACAGCCCCTCTCCCATACCAGACCCCTCCCCCATTAACCCTCAATCATAAATCAACCCCTCCTCCACCTTTCCCACCTCTCTAAAAGCCCAGGGTACTGCCTTCCTCAAGTCCACCCCCCAACCTCCAATTATTGTGGGTCACTGGGGTTTATTCACTTCACTTTGCTTTGGCTAAGTTTGTTTATTTTTGGTAAATAACTGAACTGTAGCCCAAATATAACATGTTAAAAAGTTAATTAGAATTAAAAACATAATCCTCCTATTGGAAAAAAGATATATAAATAATAAGATACAAATATATATAAATTATATTGCAATAAAACTCACCCAATATACTCGACATTTGTGCTGCTGGTGACCAGTAGCTTTTGGTGGCTAATGTTAGCTAACTTTAGATATTACTGTTTATTTCTGACATTATCAGTTTGCTGACTTCATGACCAGTCTCTACTACTAATACGCTATGTTTTCGCTCATCTCTTAGATATTAGACATTTCAGTAGTTCTTTTGGAAAATGATGAGAAATTCAGTATCATCACATTATTACATCATCATGCAGCAAAAGTAAGGGCCAATGTGTAACATGTAGTGGCATTAAGTCTGTGGGAGAAACTACAGTGGCTATGAAACTCTGCAAGAAGGGCGGCCTCTGTGGAAGAGGACCCGCTCTCTCTGTAGATAAAAACAGCTCATTCTATGGTAACAAAATCACAACAATTCTTATGCTCAGGTGATTATAAACTAATGAAAACATATGAATATTATATTCCTCCTTCCTAAATGTAACACACTGGACCTTTAAGACATTTAGTAAGTGTATAACAGTAGCCAGGGTTGTTGTTGTTGTTGTTATTTTTTCTTTTATCTATTTCTTTTTTTGCTAGGTGAAAATAAATGATTATTGCGTATTTTTTGTTATTTTCTGAGTTGGTGGATTAATTATTTAGTGAAACAAAATACA